TCCTAACACATTCTACAAGTCCAACATCATGCTGATACCAAAGCCTGACAAGGACACCACGAAAAAAGAGAACTACAGGCCAATATCACTGATGAACATAGATGCAAAAATTCTAAACAAAATTTTGGCAACCATAATTCAGCAATTCATCAAAAGGATCATACATCATGATCAGGTGGGATTCATACCAGGGACACAGGGATGGTTCAACATCCGCACACTGATCAACGTGACACACCACATCAACAAACTGAGGAATAAAAACCACATGATCATCTCAATAGATGCAGAGAAAGCATTTGACAAGACCCAACAGCCATTTATGATAAAAACTCTGAACAAAATGGGCATAGAAGGGAACTACCTCAACATAATAAAGGTCATATATGACAAACCCACAGCCAGCATCATACTCAATGGACAAAAACTGAGCGCCATCCCCCTGAAAACAGGAACGAGACAAGGATACCCTCTATCACCACTCTTATTTAACATAGTACTGGAGGTCCTGGCCAGAGCAATCAGGCAAGAAAAAGGAATAAAAGGAATCCAAATAGGGAGGGAAGAAGTGAAATTCTTGCTGTTTGCAGATGACATGATCTTATATATAGAAAACCCTAAAGAATCCATTGGAAAACTCTCAGAAGTAATCAACAACTACAGCAAAGTTGCAGGGTATAAAATCAATTTGCATAAATCAGTAGCATTTCTATATTCTAATAACGAGCTCACAGAAAAAGAACTCAAGAACACAATACCATTCACAATCACTACAAAAAGAATAAAACACCTCAGCATGAATTTAACTAAGGAAGTGAAATACCTATACAATGAAAATTACAAGGCCTTTCTGAGAGAATTGGATGACAACATAAGGAGATGGAAAGACATTCCATGTACATGGATTGGAAGAATAAACATAGTTAAAATGTCCATTCTACCTAAAGCAATCTACAGGTTCAGTGCTATCCCAATCAGAATCCCAATGACATTCTTTACAGAATTAGCACACAGAATCCTAAAATTCATATGGGGCAACAAAAGACCCCAAATTGCTAAAGCAATCCTGAGACAAAAGAACAAAATGCGAGGCATCACAATCCCTGACTTCAAAACATACTACAAAGCTACAGTAATCAAAACAGCATGGTACTGGTACAAAAACAGGTGCACAGATCAATGAAACAGAATTGAAAGCCCAGAAATAAAACCACACATCTATGGACAGCTTATCTTTGACAAAGGAGCTGAGGGCATACAATGGAGAAAAGAAAGTCTTTTCAGCAAATGGTGCTGGGAAAACTGGAAAGCCATATGTAAAAGAATGAAAATTGACCATTCTTTCTCACCATTCACCAAAATAAACTCAAAATGGATTAAAGACCTAAAGGTGAGACCTGAAACCATAAGGCTTCTGGAAGAAAACGTAGGCAGTACACTCTTTGACATCAGTATTAAAAGGATCTTTTCGGACACGATGTCTTCTCAGACAAGGGAAACAATAGAAGAATAAACAAATGGGACTTCATCACACTAAAGAGCTTCTTCGAGGCAAATGAAAACAGGATTGAAACAAGAAAACAACCCACTAACTGGGAAAAAATATTTGCAAGTCATATATCTGACTTAGGCTTAATATCCATAATATATAAAGAACTCACACAACTCAAAAACAAAAACTCAAACAACTCGATCAAAAAATGGGCTGGAGACATGAACAGACATTTCTCTAAAGAAGATATACGGATGGCCAATAGGTACATGAAAAGATGTTCATCATCGCTGATCATCAGGGAAATGCAAATCAAAACTACACTAAGATATCATCTTACACCCATTAGAATGACAAAAATATCTAAAACTAATAGTAGCAAATGTTGGAGAGGTTGTGGAGAAAAAGGAACCCTCATACACTGCTGGTGGGAATGCAAACTGGTGCAGCCACTATGGAAAACAGTATGGAGATTCCTCAAAAAATTAAAAATAGAACTACCATACGACCAAGCTATTCCACTACTGGGTATCTATCCAAAGAGCTTGAAGTCAGCAATTCCAAAAGTCCTATGCACCTCAATGTTTACTGCAGCATTATTTACAATAGCCAAGACATGGAAGCAACCTAAGTGCCCATCAACAGATGATTGGATAAAGAAGATGTGGTATATATATATATACACAATGGAATACTACTCAGCTGTAAAACAGAACAAAATCGTCCCATTTCAACAACATGGATGGACCTTGGGGGAATTATGTTAAGTGAAATAAGCCAGTTAGAGAAGGACAATCTCTGTATGACTCCACTCATATGAGGAATTTGAAAATGTAGACAAAGAGAACAGATTAGTGGCTACCAGGGGAAAGGTGAGGTGGGGGGTGGGCACAAAGGGTGAAGTGGTGCACCTACAACATGAATGACAAACATTAATGTACAACTGAAATTTCACAAGACTGTAACCTATCATTAACTCAATAAAAAAAAATGGAAGAAAATATGCCACAACCATAAATAATGTCACCTGTAGCATTCATTGATACTCACAATGCTCTTAGCCAAATTCTGTTACAAACTTTAACATCAATTCCTAACACAGGAGAAGTTAAAGAAATAAAGTACATTATAAAATTTACAAGTTGAGAAGCATAAACATTTTAATGAATAAATAAACACAATGAACTTTTTATACAGTCAGTTTAAAGCAATGTATTAAAATATGGATGATATATGACCACAAAAGTTAGTGAACATTTTACAGGAGTACAGCTCCATGACCTTCAGCAGTAAGTGCATAACTGGTTAGTCTAGAAGTCAGGAGACCTGGACTAACTCGCTGTCAGTGAGAGGCTCTCACTAACTCTCCGGGTTTCCTGAAGCAGTAATCATGGCCATACCAAAAATCTGATGTGGTAAAGGAGACAGCTGAAATAGAGGATCTACAGTTCCTTTCTGTGCAACACGTCTCGTCAGAGATTCAATAGGCCGTGACAGCACAGCACCCCAATCGCTGCGTACTGCATATTCTCATCATATACCATCTCAACTTTATTATCTACAGTTACTTATGAATAATCTGTATTTTAGATACACTAAAATGATCAATGTCTCCAACTACATAGGTCTTCCTCAGAAATTACCATATGTGCACCATTTGAGAATCACTGCTATTCACCAAATTATGAACATTGCTATTTGAATTCTGAATGCACTAGAAGTGTTTCACTTTCTCCCTTTACTGAATTTCACAAACTACTATGTTTTGGCTTTACTAATTTACATCTGTCTGTAAAGACAATAATATTTTATTGGCTATTTTGGGGAAGAGCCATCTCAAGATTTCCAGTAAGGCAGTGAAGCTAAAGAAAAATAGGCAGTCATTTTAAACCACTTTAACAATATGCCATAGTCCTTAATGTTTCTCTTAAATGTGAAATTAATGACAGCAAATAATAAAGTATAAAACAGGTAGAAGGCATACGTTTCTGAAAATATTCTTGTGGTAGTAGGAAAGAATCAATTTGTTTTTTCTTTTTTTTTTTTGGTGAGGAGGAAGATTGGCCCTGAGCTAACATCTATTGCAAATTTTCCTCTTTTTGCCTGAGGAAGATTATCACTGAGCTAACATCTGTGGCAATCTTCCTCTATTATTTTTGTGGGATGCTGCCACAGCATGGTTGGACGAGCAGTGCTAGGTCCGCATCCAGGATCAGAACCTGCAAACCCCAGGCCACTGAAGTGCAGTGTGCAAACTTAACCAGTACGCCACGAGGCCAGCTCCCAATATATTTTTTAAGATATGTTTTATCTAAGACAACTGACAATTTTAATAACCATACAGCAGCACTAAGGACGTTTGAATCACCAGAAAAAGTATGGACTTAGTAATGACATGGTCATATAACATATAGTTTCTAGTGAAAAGTAACTTGTACAAATTCTTGTCCCAATTAACTGCCACTTCCCAAGGTGAGCTAACCATTGAAATGTAAAAAACTTCCTAATAGAAACTCCACATAGTTAAGAAAACTCTATTAACATATCAAATCTGTTTCTAGAAAAGTCTTAATTTTCAGACATGGAAATTATATTTATTTCTATATACCTTACATGTGTGGATTGAATCCTATTTTCAAATAAATTATTATACATATTATTCCCACCTAATCGTCACAAATATTCCTATTTTGAAGGAAAATGTTGCCAAGCCAAAACCTAACTACATTTTAGTTATACGTAAATTACAACAATAGAATAATTCTTCTGGTGAGCAGAATTGTATCTTATGAAAAATACTCCACTTCATTAACCTCAGGTTGACTTGTCACTCTTAACCATCCCAAATAAAGGTGGGAATGTATAAGTAAATAAAAAGGACTCAGGAATGTCAACGTCAAAAAGTCCCATCACAAAAGTGTATGTAGTGACTCATAAGAAAACCCTTTAAGCCCTCACGTAGAACCTATTTTTTCTGGTCATCTCGTGTCTCACAGTCCCAATAGACTAAAAGCTGCAAAGATGACTGATGTCACAGACAGACACAAGCAAGCAGTAAAAAGTAACAGCCTAAGGAGTGGTGGGAGTTTGACCAGCCCTGAGGAGGCAATGAACTGCAGGATTCCCCAAGGGCCTCAAACTAAAGTAATTACTATACTGATTGTCTCAAGTCATCAAGAAAATTAAACTGTATTCAGTGAAATCTGTTTAAGGCAGAAAACCATATAATACATTGAGAAAAGTTTTCTGTTAAAATTCTCTTGAATTATTCTTGGTTCTTACAGTAGTAAGTCTCAGTTACTTAGAAAATTCTCTCACGTTAGATACACATGCATTCAAGTGTTACACATTTATTTTATTAATCTAGTTCACCCAGAATCCTGTAAATATTTTTAAATGTTTTCTTTAAACATTAAATAGTGTTTATTTTAAATGCTATCCAAAAAAAGAGCTATTAATTAGAATTCACTAAGATGGACATTGACTGTTTTGGTTCCAAGATACAAACCTACTGCAGCATGAAACTGAGATAAAGCATCAGCTAGCTGCCCAGCTGCAAGTAATTTCTTGCCCAGTTCAAGATGTTTCTCAACATCTGCATTGACTCCACATTCAGCACCTGAAAACAAAAAAAAATAAGTTAACTTTCCATGAACCAAGATTTAATTCTAAAGGAAAACATGTTAAGAATATAGTTATCTGCCTCAGTCATTTACTCAGATGAGAAAAGTCACAGAAGCTGAAAAGCGACCTAGAGAACGCAACAAAAAAGCATAAATAGTGCTTCATTTTACAGAATATAAGCAGCTCAAAAATATACCTGTATGGACCTAATCAGTCAAAAGAATGTAACCAGGGGCCAGCCAGGTGGCATAGCGGTTAAGTGTGCACGTTCTGCTTTGGCGGCCTGGGGTTGGCCAGTTTGGATCTCAGGTGTGGACATGGCACCGCTTGGCAAGCCATGCTATGGTAGCCGTCCCACATATAAAGTAGAGGAAGATGGGCACGGATGTTAGCTCAGGGCCAGTCTTCCTCAGCAAAAAGAGGATTGGCAGCAGATGTTAGCTCAGAGCTAATCCTCCTCAAAAAAAAAAGAATGTAACCAGTCTACAAAATATAAAGGAAATTGCACAACACAGTAGTAGTAAAAATATGTTGAACAACAAAATTAGAATTGCTTTGTTAAACTAGAATCTCACTTTAATGAATATTAAAGCATCCATGTAACATTCAAGTACTTACTGAGCAGCTACAATGCACCTAGCACTGTTCCAGGTATTTGGGATAAGTGAGCAAAATAGACAAAAGGCTCTGCCCTCATGGCACCTGACATTATGGTGGGAGAAGACAGACATAAGAAATAAATTACATGGTATTTTAGGTAAAGTACTATGGAAAAAATAGAGCCATGTGAGAGGGGTCATGAGTGCCAGGGATTTCAGTACTACCTAAGGTGGTCAAAGGCGGGCCTCACCGAGAAGTTGACATATGAGCAAAGACTTACCAGAAGGAAGTGAGGAACCCACCATGCAGACATCTAGGAAAAGAGCTTTCCAGGAAGAAGGACCAGCTTGTGGGAGGGCCCTAAGTCAAGAGAATGCCAGCTCTGCTCCAGAAACAGCAGAGAGGCCAGGATGGCTACCACAAAGTCAACAAAGGAGACAGCAGTGTAAGACGAGGTCCTGACAATGTACAGCTTTGGTTTTACTCTGGGTAAAATGGGGAACTACTGAGGAGTTGTGAGTAGAATAACATGATCTGACTGACCAGGCCAATTATCAGCAGGTTGCCTCTCTGCCCTGAATTCATTCTTCAGTACTTGGTTGTAAAAATGGACTGGAGTTTCTAAGCGTTTCTTCTTTACGCTGAGCACAATGTTACACTCTGTCAGGAAAGGGTACTGAAGGGGCACTGCAAGAAGGACACCTTCTGGTTCCCACTGCTGCCTTTACTTTTTTCTGGCTCCTGCTGCCTGGTCTGCCATGCAGCTTCTGTTGCATGGTATGTTTGAGCAGGACATCCAGTGGTGCCCTGCCCCAGCCATAGGCCCAGGGATCTAGTCCCTCAGCCACCTGGCAGCCTTGTCAGACACCATCTCCCAAAGACGACACCATGCACTCCAGGCTTCACACTCACAACAGCACCCAAACTCCCCTCACACACAGGCCATTCAGCCTGGGCTCACCAACACCTAAGAGGGCTGTTTCCTGCTGCCCAGGTACCGTGAACAGCTCTGGCACTGACAACTCAGCAAACTTCTCTACCAGCAAACTTGGGCTGCACCTATACCTTCTCCAGTGAGGTCTTAACTCTAGCATTGAGGAGGCCATCTCCCCTCCAAGTTGGCCCTTCCTTGGGGAATGTCTCTCAGCCTTAGAATATCCTTTAGAGTTTTCTTTACATCTTCCTAGTTACTCTCTTATCCTAACAATTCTTTATATTAAACTTCCTCTTTTAAATTACTGGGTAGTTTCTGTCTCCTGAATGGACCCTGACTTATCCACAATTGGTATTGGGAGTGGTCCCAGGAGACAGATCCACAAAGACAGGATTTGAGGGTTGGTTTGGTCATGCCCTTGAGACTGAGTGCAGTGCTGAGCTCCTTGTCAATGAGAAATAAGATGTTAGTAACCCATGGCAGGTACTGGAATCACAATAATCAAGATACAACTTGTGGGTGACAGTAATGAAGGGCTAACCGAAGCACATGCCTTGGAAACCCAAGTGGCTGCTACACTCGACTGTAAGGGCAGTAATGATAAAATAAGGACTGTGATGTGCAGTGAATTCTTCTGAGCACAGTAGTGCACTTACAGAGAGAAAATAACAAGCTCAGGTTTCTCAGCTCAAGCCACAGTCTGAGAGTTTCCTTGGTAGCCCTAAAACAACCTCTTTTTTTTTGTGGCCACAAAGCTGATTTAGCTGGAAAAAAACACACACACAAAATTTAATTTTGAGAGTTGTGGAATTAAAACATTAGTTGAATTCATAGTCTCGCCAAGTTTCTTGCATGAAATTTAGGGTATGAATTAGTAAAGAATGGGATCCTAAAACTTAGAATGAAGAACTGGCTGGACCCGGATGAAACTGACCAACTTTGAACCTCTAAGTCCTTCTGAGCCACCCTAACCATTCCTGTTGTCACTAGACAGGTAGAGACTATGAGCCCAAAAAATAGCTTGCACACCAAAGAATTGCAAGACTTTGCTGATAAACTAGGGACGTGTGTGGGAATGGATTTTAAAGGCATTAGACCAAGGAGAGTGGACTAGAACACTAAATCCGGTCTAATTCATTGATATGTGCCCACTTACCAGAGCAGAGGTTAGCAAACTGTTTTTATAAATGCAATTTTACTAGAACACTACCATGCCCATTCACTACATATTGTCCATGGCTGCTTTCACGCTACAATAGCAAAGTTAAGTAGCTCTGACAAAAACCAAATTGCCCACAAAACCTAAAATATTTACTATCTGACCCTTTAGGAAAGATTTGCCAACTCCTATACTAGAGATCCCAGATTTAACATATTAGCTCATGCAGCTGGAAGTGGCTCTAACAACTTACTTGATTGGCTGACTGAAACTTGGACTCAAAAATGGCCTATATTTAATAAGGCTGAGAATCCAGAGTTTCCCTAGCTTGATAAGAAGGCTTATCCAAAGGCTTAGAGAGAGAGAAATGTTGTTGAACTTCTCCTATGTGACCTACACACCAACCTCCCACCTAAGTTCCATGACAGGGCCCAGGAGACACTCCTCCTTTACTAAGGTGTTGAGGAATATATTAGTGAGGGACTACCCGCAACCTTTTCAAAGCTCTGTGGTCACTTCCCTTTGCAGGACAGGTATGACTATAGGGGATGTCACCACTGAGATGGGCTTTCTGGTTTCAATGGGGATGATGGGGTCCTGGAGTAGCAGAAGACTAAGTAGCAGCACTTAACCATCACAAACTAGGTGGGCACATCAACTGTCAAAGGCATCTGCTACTGAGGAGACTCTTAATCATCAGGTGGATAAAATGATGTTCTGTGGATGTCAGTCAACTTCCTTCACCACTACGTCAGTGCTTGTGCAAAGGACCCATGAACAAAGTGGAAACTATGAATGGGCTCAAAAACACAAACTACTTCTTACCAAAGCTGATCTGACTGAAGCTACTGTTGAGTGCCTAATCTGCCAACACCAGAGACCAACCTTAAGTTCCCAATATGGCACCATGGAGTGCAGGCGGGTGGGGGTGTACCAGCCAGCTACCTGGTGGCAGACTGATTATACTTGTTCTTGTCCATAATGGATCATCTTCACATATTTAGGATATGGATTTGCCTGTAACGCTTCTGCAAGCACTACCATTGACAGATTCACAGGATGCATTATTCACCATCATGGCATCCCATACAGCTTTGTATCTAATCAAGAAACTCATTTCACAGCAAAGGAAGTATAGCAATGTGCTCATGCTCATGGAATTAACTGGTCTTACCACATACTCCATCACCCAGAAGCAGCAAGCCCATTTGAAAAGTGGAATGGCAGCATCAGCTGGGAGACAAAAACCTGAAAAATTATTTTACAGGCTGCAGGTTACGACAGACTATGATATGGTGCTATCTCCCCAACAGCCAGAATACATGGGTCCAGGAATCAAGAAGTAGAAGTGGGAGTGGTTCCTCTCATTATTACACCTAATAACCCACTTACAAAATGTTTGCTTCCAGTCTTGGCAACTTGAGCTCTGACTGTTCGGAGATCTTAGTCCCCAAAGGGGAAATGCTTCTATAAGAGGACACAACAATGGTTCCAGTGATTTTAAAGGTGAGACTGCCACCTCACCATTTTATACTCCTTATGCCACTGAAACCAAAGGGCCAAAAAAACAAAAAAGGTTAATCTACTGGCTGGAGAAACTGATCTCAATTAGTAAGGAGAACCAAGGGTTGCTGCTAATACAATGGTGGCAAAGAGGGCTACATCTGGAACCTAGAGGATTCTCTAGGGTCTTAGTAACTCCATGCCCAATACTAAAGCTTAATGAAAAACTACATCAACCAAAAAACAGAACAATTAAGCACTAGACCCTTCAAGAATGAAAGTTTGGGTCACGCCATTAGGTAAAGAAGTGCGAGTAGCTGAGGTTCTAGCTGAGGTCAGGAGAAGTATGCATCAGGTAACTGAAAAAGGAAGCCATATATATCAACTACAACCTCATGATCAATTATAGACACAAGGACTGCAGTAGCTTTGCATAGTTTCTCTTTGTTTATTATACATGGGTTTATTTGTACATATAGTCAATCCTCACAATTCACAGATTCTGTATTTGTGAACTTGCCCACTCACTAAAATTCATTTGTAACCCCCTACAATTCATTTGTAATCCTCGAATTAATTCTCAGAGCGCGTTGGCAGTTATTTGCAGACATGTGCAAGTGCAGAATGGCAAAACACTTGAGTCACTCAAAGTGCACAGTCCCAGCTGAAGTCAAACAATGTGATGCTCTGCCTTCTTGTTTGCGCTCTCACATTATAAACAAGTGTCCTTCCACAGTATACTTAGTGTCACGTTTTTCACATTTTTGTGCTTTTTGCTGGTGATTTCACTGTTTACAAT